TTTACAAAGCACAATTTGAAATAAAATAGAATAGTAATTGTTTTGTCCTCTGTCCCTAACAAATTATGCTTCAGAAATTAAAACATCTTAAATCTCCATAAATTATTCCATGCCATGCATCTTTTACAAAATGTATCCACAAACCTGAAAACATTGTTTGCTGCTGGCTATCAGCTTCAGCTGTGTAGGTCCTGAAGGATTCTCTTTGCTCAGATTTGCAGTCTTAAATATCAACTGCACCAAATCAAGTGGAAAAAAATAATGGTTGCTCAAAAAAAAAAAAATGGAAAAAAATTAATGGTTGTTCCACATTTCTGAAAATCAAGGAGGCATCTGTTAGGGCAAAATATTGGGAGCTCTCTTTATGATTATGGTTTTTATTCACAGTGAATTGAAAGTTGGAAAAAGCAACCCAGATGAGGACTCCATTGTACCAGTTATTATAAAAGTGTGGAACCAAGAAGAGCAAAGTGAATGGTAGAAAAAAAAATTAAACTTTTTTTGGTATTACTTCTAAAACTAAGGTAAATTCCTGGTTCATCCATGTTCAAATCTTACATAGAAAAGAAAAATAAAGGATGCCAGAAAGAATTACTACCATCATGCTATAGCTTCTAACTCTGGGAAATTAAGTACCTCCCTCAAAATCACAGGAACAGCCTGAAGACTGTTGGAAAATGAGAACTTACACTGGCCCTTCACTGCTGTAGCTCCAAGCCTCAGTCCTCTTCCAAGGAGGCAGTTCTAAATATTCAAAAAGCTGGAAGTTGTCTCTCAACCTGTTCAGTCTTTGCTCTGGTGACAAAATGATGCCAAGCAGTTACCTTTTCATGCTACAAGAAGGTAGGGCATGATTTTATGTGTTGGATTCCCGCACTGGCCTTTCAACTCATCAGCAGACTGATCATTGATCAAAATGATCTTCGTTCAGCTAGGATGGAAAGAACAGCAGCATGCCCATATCCAGCTGATATGATGTTTCAGTCTGTTTTTATTAACACCTTTAATGGAAGGGTCCTTCCTCTCTAATTTGCAGGTTAGGAACATTCCACTTTGACTGTCTCCTGGACTGCTGTATAACTGTAACAATGCCTATCAGACAGCTCTTTTTTTTTTTTTCTTTTTCACTTCCTACTCAAAATTAAAGGGTTAAAAATAGTATATAGAGTAAAGCAATCTTTAAGGTTTCATGGTTTATTTTACTGTTTATAAGGGATTTAAAATTATGGAGATACTATCACAGTATAAAAAAATGTATTTGTAAATGTTGCAAGACAAACTATGCTTGTAATCAATGTTTTCAATTTTTTCTTTTACTCATAGCTTCTTAAAAGCTGATTGTTGAAATGTTTCTTTTTCCCTCGCCCTGATGCTTTTTTTGGTATCCTTATTGAATTCCAAATTAAGATACCAAGGCCAAAATCTAATCTGAGGTAAAAAGAAACACTTGAAGGTTCCAAGTAAAGCCAGGCTGTTATCTTATTAGAACTACAGAGTAAGTTCTTATGAAAAAATGAACAAGCATGATGCACGAGAAGCACAGCAGGGAGCTGTTGAAGACTGAAGAGCAAACCGTGGTTCTCCCTTGGTAATTCTGCAAAGTTTCCATTTGGCCATGCCCAGCAGTGCCCTCAGAGCCAGCCTCTGCTTGCAGGCATGGCTACGAATGCAGTCAGAGACTACTGTGTGTTGCTGACATTTTTGGCATGGTACACCGGCACTCTAGCTGAATGTCAGACAGAAATTCACTTCAGAAAGTGGCCAAGAGCTATGAGCTGCAGAGTGTACCACTGCTGTGACTACTCTTACACCTGCTTATCATCATCTGCAGAAGAAAAAATACTTTTGATTCAGTACTCACTGGACCAACCTATTCTTCCTTTGGAAATTACTAGCCCTCCACTCATTTACACCAGGTAATTTGTAGCCTTATGTTTAGTAGTGCAGCTTAACTCTGAAAGACTTCTGAACCTTATCTGCCCTTAGGTCACCTATATTGACTAAACTTCCAAAACTCCCAACACAGTGTTTGTTCAAGGATACATCTTACAAAACTGGGTATTTGTGCCATGTGCAAAGCACAGTACTCTAATCCCTAGTTGAATATTGCATGGACAGTGTGAAGATATGAATACAATCCCACTAATTTGAAAGGAGGGAAATTTTCTTCCTTAATAAACATCAATCAATAAAAAGCAGTCAAGCCAGTTTGAATGGTAATGACCATCAACCAATATAGCAAGAGTTGATACAGTCTGGTCTGATCCCACTGACCAGAACCTATGAGGCATGAGTTCACTGTGTCCTAAAACATCATGTGTGGCGACACAGACTTGAGAGCACTTCCAAGGGGGAAATTAATGGTCTTTGTGCATACAAGTGCACACAATGCAACTGCATATTCATTTAAAAACTGCAATGCTATTGAAAATCAAAGCAGTGGGAGTTGAAGCTAGAAAACAAGCTGTTATATCCTTTCATATGCAGAAAAAGTAATTTTCCACTAAAAGAACACATTGGAGAAAAATTCCATGATTCCTAATCTGAATTCACATTTCAGACTACCCTCCTGAATAGAAAAGGGAAGCATTTCCTTCATCAATAACTTGACTACAACAACAAAAATTTTGTCTGGAACTGGTTTAGGACAAGTTTGTGAGCATATCTCACCAGCAGAATCATTAATCTCCTAGAAAAAATAATGTCATAACACTTAGACTGAGAAAAACTATTTTGCTGATGAATTTAAACTTATATCCATGCTCCTTACTGAAGAACAGGGTTTAGACAGTAATGCCTTTGATAATGATACAGTGATACTGCTTAGTGTACCTGGCATTTCCTATATACCTAAAAGCATTTTTTTAAATACTTAGGACATCTAAGAGAGATAAGAGTGGGGTATCTGTCTCCAGCTATCTAACTGAAACTCTCAGTCTTTAAATGCTGGTTTGGATTTTTGGGTTTTTGGTTTGATTTGGGGTGTTTGTTTGTTTGCTCGTTTGCTTGTTTTAATTTTATTTTACCTATGTAGGATATTCCTGCTTGTGCTTTTCTGTATCTATCTACTTATCAATACTACCAATAGTAGTAAAGTGGTATGATCTTCACTGAAATGAAGTTTCTTGTGTGCAAAGATGAACAATATAAGAATGCACCAAAGACTTGCTGCTTAAATAAACAAGTAGGGTAGCAAAGTGATCCATGTGCAAAACTTTCACTCTACTATAATCAGTGGCAAAACTGCCAGTAACTTCAGAGACAGAAAATTTCATTCATGGACTGTGTGATACATCCATGGACACAGCCTGTAGGAAAGTTCAAAAGTGGAAGAGCTTAGCTCCCAGCCTTTAGATGCAGCCCTTATTCTCATTAAAACCAATTTCTGTTTAAGACCCTTCCTTCATCAGTCTGTACATGCATCTCCTGTTAGCTTTTGCTAGAGTTCTGGGTACGTCTCAATGATAAACAGACTGCTTAATTATTAGTTGTTGATGCATGACAGAATTTTGAGGACAGGACTGTAAATGTCACACAGACAGTAAATATGTTCATATTTTGAAGTTTGGAAGTAGGCATCACTTGCCTTCACTGTAATAAAAATATGCACGTACCTTTTTATCGCTAATGAGATAATTATACAGATCTAAGTCCCTATGAGGGTTAAAGGAGTCTTCAAATAAACCTACACAGTTCCATGCCCTGACTAGTTACAGCCTAAACATTCTAAGATTTGTCAGAACATTCTGCAGCTTTAACACAGGGTTTTGACAATGCCAGTCACAGGGAATGATTTCTTTAGTAGCATCTGATATTTCTGAAATACATTCTGTATCTGTAAAAAAACTCTATGGAACAGATGTTATAGTTTGTATACAACACAGTCTATTACTTTCCTAAGAGTTTGAAAAATGCATGTGTATGAATTCATATGCATAAATGCATGAACCTTCAAAATGCCAAAAGCCTGTTTTTGAGAAGTATCATCTTGTGTTTTTAACAATTGTCTATACTACATTAAGTGCAGAATTCCAGAATTAAAACTGGAATGATCATTTATTGTATCATTTAATAATTTACAGTTATTTAATGATGGTTATAAAGCTTTTGACTGTTAAACTTTACGGTTTGTTAAATTTGTTAATTTACGGGTAACGGAAAAAAAAATCAAAATCCAGAGGGGAAAAAACAAAGCACAACAGCACACAACTTCTCATTTTTATGAAACCCAGACACTCAAGCAGCAGACTACAGGCAGTAGTAGTTTACTTAGCTGCTAAGGAAACTGCTAGCAGACTTCCTTCAACTATGCCTAATTAGACTTAAGTATTACAAGGCATATGTATGCCATCGAACTAAAGAATTTTCCTTCACACATATAAAAATGCATTAGAATTTCAGTAAGCATATCAACAAATTGACAGCTAAAGTCTTGGCCAGCTCCATAGACAATAACTGAAACAGCCACTAGCGGCATATGCTGTGCTGATTTTCAGAAGTATATTCAGACACACGCCGGAACTTTTTACCTATAAAATAATCCAACTTTACAGAACTTGTTGAGGAAATAGACAAGGCAACCGCAAGGTTCCTCTAACTCCTTTATAAGTTAAAGAAATAGCCGAAGTCAACTGTTCGGTAATTCTGCTGCTGGGGAAGCGGAATGGAGGTGGCGATTTGGTTAATGAAGTTATCTGACGTGGCTCGACAGACCGTGCTGAAGATCGCACTGCCCAGGCCACCTCAGAAACAGCGTTAGGGGAAGAAGAGGGGGTCCTGTCGCCGGGAAGGGGACGGGGCTCCGCCCGCCAGCCCCAGCGCAGCCCCCGCATCGCCCCGTACCGCCCGTCCCCGCACAGCCCCT